TGTGTATGATTGCAGCCAGGATACAGTGGTCTGTTAGCAGTGTTATAATGGTGTTGGGACCAGACCATCCCGCAACTGATATTATGAACCAGGATCCACACTGCTGGACTGAGGAACATTTGGGAAGCAGTTGTATGATGATATTGCTGGAGTAGAGACACTGATTTAGCCAGATCACAGCTAGGTATGATCATTCAAGGTAGTTCATTCAAGAACTATCCATACTGTTCATCAATTGTGATCCAACTCTAATTCAGTCCCTCATACAACAAGCAAGCAGGCCATGTCAGGTTGTCCACTTTCTGTTTCCTCACAGTAGATGCATGTCTCCATGTAACAAGACACAAGAATGATGATCAAGAAACAAATTTATTGCACATTCTAGCTCATGGCTTCAATACTGAGTGAGACAAGATTAATATGGAAGTGATAGGGAAATCTACAGCAGATATGTCTGTTCCTCAGCATGTCACATCACATGTCATGTACAAACCTACAAGATATGGCAATGTTACACAGATCAGTTCAGGTGAGTTTAACTATGGCCAATCTTTGCATAATCTATCTGCATGTAGTTCACACTTTCACAAGTACCCTCTGTTAAAATGTATTTTGTATTTTACAATGTATTCCCCTGACTAATCACTACATATTTTGAAGCAATAAAATATATTTCAACATTGAGTTCTTTCTTATTTCAGTTGCAACCAAATTCCAGAATTGTTCATGGCCCTGTCTAAGATATAGGATTATTAATATTAGGAATTAACATGAGAAATAATTGCCATCACCATCATGTAATGTTTCAACCTTATCCCTGAAGCTGTTGCTGCTTTGAGACATTTGTCACTCTGGGAAAACCCACAAACACAGGTAAGAAAACAGACACATGATGGGGAATCAGGGAATTGAGCTCCACATCATAAGTTTCTGGCATGCCAAAGGGATGCAACTCTGCACAATAAATTGCAGAGATCTAGTTGACTGGGTGGCTAGTAACCCTTATTATTATTACCATATACATGTCCAACATAGCTATCAGTGTTTGCTGTTATACTGTGAGAATCACATGGAGATGTTTTGCTTCAGTCTGAGGCATGTGTGGAGGGAGCAGCTGCTTATTGAGATTAAAGCTTTACAAGATTGGCCAGGCCTACATATTACCTCAAAACATGCCTTGCCTCCTTCACAATCTACCTGTTTTAAAACATATACCATAGCTTCTTATGCCATCTAAATCAAACTGAACAATTATAATCTGTGATATTTTGTAAAGAAAACATTCTAGCCAAAACATTGAAAGATCAGGGAAAACATATTGTAAGTAAGATTACAAGAGACCCTGTCTCTGCATATTCTCTTACAAATAATATAGAAGCAGTTTGAACTGATTAAATGAATTACATCCTTAAATGAAAAGTGTCCATCATAAACAGAATCTTGATGACATTGATAAGAGAGCCTGGCTGTCATGGAGTAGAATGGGTCATTACACTGAATGTATCGGCAGGAATTGTCCAGCATCAAAGTGAACAGGAATGTGCTACAAGGAAACAATCCAAAAAAACCAAATCATAAATATACTTGTTTTCTTTCAACAGAACTTTAAATGATTTTGTAACTAATTCCACTAAGAGTATATATTAAGTCACCATATTGATGGAGTACATTTGAGAGCAACCACTGGATACTCTGGCATGAGTTAGGATTTGTTTGTTTTTTAAAAATATTTTTTTCAAGAAATAGAACAAAAGAGAAAAATAATGAGTCCTCATGTCGTACAAAAACACATTAAGTTTTCTATAGATATGCTTGATGTCCTGAAGCATTTTCTAACAAAAAAAACCCCATCACCTTTTGTGCTTTACCTTGTGAAAGTAATAACAAAGCAGTATGGTAGGTAAACGCTAAAGTCTGTGTCAGGTAATAAAGACCCTGTGTCAGGTAATGTTAACAATTTTGGAAATGTTTGAAGCTTGATGCTATGGATGGTTGAAACAATCTTGAACATAACATACAGTGACACATCAAACTAAGGACAACAGTCTTCTAAATGTAACATATTTAAAGATAACATATATGAAATACCCATACAAAACACTCGCAAATCAAACAGTCACCAATGACAAGACCATGCAACTTCTTTAAGAGTAATTAACAGTGTCTCAGGGGCAGGGGACATATTACTTGGGCTGGAATTATATTTATGATTATTTTGTTGTAAATGTTTTACTGTGATTTTATGAATATAACAAGAATCTTCACTGGAGTTGTGATTTATGAATATAAAGAAGTAAAATGTCATTATGAAGAAGTAATCAATCGTGCATGTTTTCAACTCCTTAAGCCGTAATCATATAAATACAAACACTGTGACTTGTACACTCAACAATGAAAGATTACATACGTAGTGCTTATACACACAGACAATATGTTTAGTGATTGGTCCCACTGTCTGATAAATAAGGGCATGGAATATATAGGATTTCTGTTATACATCTCAGTAACCATAGCAACCATATATGTAATGTGTATAGATGGTGTAAGAATTGAGTCAAACCATCAGTTTGGTGAATTTTCAAAACTTCACCCCTTTCTGTCACCAATGACGGAATTCATCTCCGAACCATCCAAGTAAGGAACAATGAATTGTACAAAACACACAATCACAAATAGGCAACCCAGATAATTCACTGCAAATTGCGAGAATTAAATGAACATTATGCAAGTCCTGAAAGGATCCTATCTAAATGTGAGGCACTATACAAAATGTATCACAAGCAACAATGAAAAACATATACATGATGCCAAACATACTATGTTCAGCTTTTATAAAATACAATAGGAAAACTGTGCCAAAAAATTATGAATAATAACTTGAAAGATTATGAACTGCTATAAAAACATCGGTGTGTTAAGTATAAAATTTCATTTGATAAAACTCTGATTATTGGACCAATGATGAAGTTAAACATTGTCAAAGGTAAGTAACTCTGTACATAACCAAACCATCAAAGCAGTTGAAGTGCAATAAAATACTTTCATAATTCTCAATTCACCAGGAAATGGGATGCCTCAGTATGGAAGACAGAAACTTCAACAGCATCAAAGACACCCCAAACTAAATATCTCTCTCTTTTTTAAACTTGCGTTTTCCCACTGAAAAATAAAAGCCTTGTGTGAAGATACATGGTACTTGGAATGTGGATAACATTTGATAACATGACAAACATGAATTGACTAAACACTATAATCCATCCCATCTGCAGCAGGTTCAGAGGCATGTTTTCATCATCAGCACCATTCAGTCTTCCTACTTTCCACCATGAGCTAATCCCAGCACATTCAACTTCCATACACATCTCAACACCAACCTGGATAATCTGTCTCAGTACCAAATAGAATTTGGTGAAACACATAAAGGGGAATGTACATTTGGAAACAGCAGAGACCTAAAGATGAGAAGAAAGACGATACTAATGACTCATTAGACACAAAAAAACTAATAAAGTTTAAAGCTTGACACTTCACAACAAAATGTCACCTAGGTCGGCTGTGTGGTGGTCCATTCAACTGAGAAACTCGCCTCTTTCAAACAGTACAGCAGAATGCTGACAGAAATAAATGACTGCACTATATATACCTGGAAGGGGTTCAAGGATATGTATCCCTGTTTGGAGCACTATAATCAGTTACACAAAACTAAGTAATTGGACATTACAATTAATTGACAAGTTGTTTCCCAGATTATGTTGCAGCATTTCTATAGTTTATATGCACTGAGATAACCCATTTTTTAACTAATGCCTGCCCATGTTTTAAATGAAATTGAGAAAAACATAATAATAAATAACATGTTCCTAAAAGATGTATCTGTGGTTGACTATGACTAAGATATTTGTTGTATGAAGAGCTGAAGTCATTCCAATTGGCATAATATAACTGTCAAATTCCTGTTTAAAACAAGAGTGCCTAAAATTCATGCTTACCCTACCGACTTCTTAAGCATTTTGAACAGTTACACTTTTGTCCCTCTTAAGCATTTGACACAATGACCTGTTTCATTCACTAAGAAATTATATATTTTCTGATGACATTTACTTCCATTTCATTGAATTAATCCATGATTGCAATATGTCAGAACATCAAATATCTACTAACATCTCCAAAACTGCATATCTTGCAAATTGACTGGTGTCTATTATGCTTTGAAGACAGCCTGAAATGATCTTGAGACATTTTTCGTGAAGTCTTTGTTACAGTAGTTCCACCCGAAAAGTTTGTTCCTGTTTCTAATTACCTGTGTTAAACTACACCCGCTGAACCGGCTGCAAGGAGTACGACACATACCCATGTATACCGTAACATATTCAAAATGGCTAATAGTAAACAACTCTTGATTCAGTTTGACTGAAGATAATTCACATGTAAAAGTTTTGAGTATCCTTTGCACCAAAAGTATTAAGCAATATCCACATCCCCAAATAGAAAGTAAGTAGAAGAATGTCATGGTTGGGCAACACTGGTGATTGTATGGAGTCTGGTTGTGTGGCTTATGTTCTATGTTAACCTACCTCCTTCCTCTAGCCAACCTATCACGCACCATGTCATATTTTGAGTGTTTATTTCTTGTTGATAATATTCTGACAAATACCGGGAAGAAATTAAATATTAATATATATATGTCTATCCACAAAGTTACTCAATCACCAGATTTAAGGAGCAAAAGTACAGCTTAATTAAAAAAGGCATGAGAAGTACTTTCATGTCATGGAGGTTCAATTAGAGGAACATTTTTACATTACTAACTTACTCTCAGTGAACCATTCAGCTTGGTGTTACTACCATGTAATCATAAATTCTAACTCTAACATTATCAACTCTGAAGTAGATTAAGCTCATTAGTGAAAAATAATGAAGCAACACTTAAACCCTTAAGTAAAACACAAATCCCTGATCTTCAAATTGTCACATACGATATCAGCAAATTAAAGTTTGACTAGAAGCTTTAAATGATCATGACAGGCCTTTTCTTTCTTTTCTGTCTGGAGGGTAGGAGAACTATAGAATATGTTTAACACATTCATCAAAGATAATTCAGAAACATGTCACTTACAACACACTCAGTAATCTGAAAACAGACCTGATAAATTGGACCAACCAGGAAATCGGTAGCCTCAATACAGGCGTTATTTCAATAAATATACACAAGAGTTGTCTACCTTGTGCGAACCTATATTCTCTACTTAAAACCCCCAAATATTTTCTGGAAGCACAACTAAACAAAACCTATAAATAGAGACGCTACAAAATAACACAAAATCCCTGAAAGTACTGTCACAAGAGATATTTCACAAACAAAATAAAGATAATAAGAAATAACAGATAAGTGTACCTCCTGATTTCAGATCAATGAATATATATGAGTTCTTACCAACATAAAACTTTGCTATTTCTTTCTTGTAAAGAGATAATTCTTTCAGTATTATGTTAACACACTACCTACAATTTTGCCGAAACACAGTATTGGTGATGTTATCATATATACAGTGATACACTGCTTACATCTATAACACCACAAACATCAACATGTCACTGCTGCCAGGATGTGTTACGATGTTAAGCACGTCACGTCATTATGTCCTGTTACTAATATACCAATACTTAACATATCAATAGATGGTATCAAATAGCATTATTATGGACAGTATATAATACTTATGGTAAATAACTTACAGTTTCTATATAAAACAGTCTGAAGCACAACAAAAGAAATAGTAACATAAATATACAAAGCATGAATTATTTATGTTCATAGAAAACAGCACTATAGTCACATGTAAAGCAAAAGACCCCAAAACAAACCAAGAAAGTCAAACTGATTTCCATTCCCATGAGAATTACCATGGTGACACAGTACATGAATGATCATTTGTCAAATATGAAAACAAACATATTTATAGAATACAGATATATGGATACTGGCAGAAATATAAATAATTTCACTTATAAATTATTCACAAATAATTTGTATGGCTAAACAAAAGATACACAGATATGGGCTTCTCACCAATCAAGATCAGGCCTTCCAAGCAAACACTTGAACCACTAGGCTACCCCCTGGCTTAATGTAATGATACAGGAATGCACGACCACATACAAAGAAACTCGGTGATTTGCTGACAGATCCATCTCTGCACACTGGGAATGTACATTGTACACCAAAGAATTGGGAAAGGAATCTGAACATTCATACTAATAGAGACTTCGTTTGGGATAGCCAAATAAATGTTTAGTCTCTAAGGTTTTCGACAAATACACACTATTAATTGTTTAGGCTAAAGTGGAGATTTATTAAATCATATAAATAATAATAGAGACATAACTACGGCTACAAATGTTCAGATCTTACCTATCTACATTGCCATTATAGACATTAATAAAGAAGTGAACACATTTTACTGATGACAATCAATCCTGGTCCAGCTTGTGCTCGGAAATCCAGATTATTCCCCTGCAATGAGTTACCCTTTGTACCACATTCAAATGCATCAACTCAGAAATCCAGTTTACCTCCAATCGTTGAGTCACCTTTTATACCACATTCAAATGCATCAACTCAGAAATCCAGGATAACCTCCTCCAAGGATTGAGTCACCCTTTATACCACATTCAAATGCATCAGCTACAGATATTTTTTCTAAACAATGGAAGATATACAATACAGTACACTGTACAGGATAAAGTTTGAACAGGAAATTTGTCTATTAACATAACAGCATTGGAAGAGTCATATCCTATTGAACAATTTCTTGACCTTGAACTTAACTGGAAAATGGAGACAAGGTCATTTCATAGAGATTTTTGTCATGGTCTAACAGCCATTTGGACTCTGACCACTGCATCGTTGTATACAACAATCTTTGATCAATATCAAGGTCAGCTCAAGTCTCTAAATTGTACAGATATGAAGAATACACGACTATGTACATATATGTAACTAGTTAATGATTGTTGCTGTTAAAGAAATGCGCTGGGATTGGCTCTGGGGTCCTTCTGATTGCGGTATCTCATAGCAAGCCACACACCAATAATCTGAAACAAACAACAGACAGGCATCAGTGACATGACACATGGGTTTCATCATGGAAATAAGAACCTACTTATCATAGGAATAATCATATCGCTACTGTTTTAGTTCCTATTACCAACAAGTAAAGTGAGTGCTGCTTTATGCTGTAGTGAAACTGCCTGTAAATGTTCGATTCTGGATCAGGCACACAGCAGGCTGAAAGCATGAGTTTAACAAGGAACCATTCTGACGGGGTACAATGGCATGCAGTCAGCTGTGTCACCTGGTAACCATGCAATCCTCCTTACAAGCTGTAGCTGACAACAAGCATGGTAAGTGACACATATTCTACCGAGATTCACTAACAGGTTCTTACTCACATACTCAGGGATTTACATGGAGTCCTGCATTTGAGGGTCCCTGGGACTCATACTCTTTAATTTTCAGGGGTCCTGGACAACAAAATGGGGGTCCCAGACAAATAAATAATACCAAAACCCAGCTTTTAGCAAACTCAGTGATTGTCACTTGATTAGAATTTTTACAAAAAGTATTTGGACTTTTTCTGAGTCCGTGTGGACGCGCTAATAAATTTTGTTGCGTCCATTGTCAATTTATGTGCGTAGAGGACGCAGGAATTCGCGTCCTGTAAATCCCTGCATACTTATTTTCCTTACCAAGATTACCCTCTTTGACAAACATTTAGGTTTCAAACAGTAAGGCAGTTAGTTTTCTAAAGATGATCAATGAGATTATCCAATGCTCTTCAACCTAGTTTCACTATCAGTTTGTGTCAGCTGGGCTAACAGCTTAATGTCACAGCATTTTATGGATTAATTAGTCATAAAACCAGATCAGTTGATGCCCAGCACCTGCTCCCAAGCACTATCAGATACCATTTTGTATATCAGCAAAATATTACATATACAGCTAGTGATCAAGTGACAAAGTTAGATGAAGGAATGGAAGAGACTATTCGACAAGCTAAAGCATTAGTTATGTTAGTAACGAAGTAAACACTTTTCTAAATTCCAAAGTCGGAGCCTTGCAGAATTATTTTGAAACTGTGTCTGATGATAGTTGCATATCTGCAATGTAATGAAATGTAATGAAGACATGTATGGGCATGTACTCAATGCATATCAATCTCTTAACTATACATCTGCATTCACTTTAATAAGAGTGATTGAGTTTAGTTTCACGCCGCACTGAGCAATATTCCAGCTATATGGCGGTCTGTAAACAATCGCACTGAGCAATATTCCAGCTATATGGCGGTCTGTAAAATTAATCGAAGTCTGACCAGACAATCCAGTATCAACAACATGAGCATTGATCTGTGCAATTGGGAACCGATGACATGTCAACCAAGTCAGTGAGCCTGACCACCCGATCCTGTTAGTCGCCTCTTACGACAAGTTTGGGTTACTGAAGATCAATATTCTAACCCGGACCTTCACGGGTCTACACTGTAATAAGAGCTTGCGGTGCTAGGAATATTGACACGAGAATGAACTATACAGGGGTTAAACTGGTTGTTACACATCGAGGAGTAGAGAACTAACTTAGTTCAAACCTCCAGGAAACTATAACAATTATCAATTCCAGCTACTACATAGTGACATTACCTTTCAACATTGGTGTGTTTACAAAGTTTACAATAATCAGATTTGTAATATACATAACAATAATGTAATTTTCTGAATAAAATTGATATTTTATACTTATCCTGACTCATGCTTAATTGCTTGTCTTCTTCTTCTTGCGAACATAGTGGAAACACTTGTATCTCCTATTGAAGCTCCCTTCAATGTAAAATCACTAATCACTACTCACCAAGAGTTGTCCCTCCTTCCGTTTTGGCGGGAACTGGCGCCACTGTTCCCCCACATGCTTCACTCTCTCCTGAATATGAGCCCGACACTTGAATTTGCAGGGAAATCCAAAGTGTCTTGTGGGGAGGTTGGGAGGGCTTACCTCATGAGTCAGGATAAGTATAAAATATCAATTTTATTCGCTTCTAGTCTTCAGAGGTTCATCTGAGTCCCTCATCAAATCTCATTCTCTCGCGAGGAATTTCCGACATCCTGCTGGCTGAGTCAGAAGTCTTGGGATCTGCTGGGAGAACTGCTGCATAAAGGGTCAACAGTTGAAAGCAGAGATCTAGTAAAGTTCAATGATCTTGTTGAGCATCTGTTGTCACCGTAGCTGAGACCGGTCGTTTCTTGTGATGAACCTCTGGGATGATGATCGGCTGATCATCACACAGGCCCTGTTCTGCGATGGGAACAATCTCGGCCGAGAAAGTTCTAGTAGTCTGCGCTGACTTCCCCTTGGTGGTGGACGCTGCCCTGGGGGTGCGAAGTTTGCGCTGGGTGGTTGACGACCTCCGAGTCTTGGACTGCGACGACGGGATGTCTGGAGATGCAGGTCTCTTCTTGGAGGTGGCGGACTTCATCCCACGCCTCTCCTCCGAGGGAAACTCCAGCGGAACACCAGACAGTAGGGGGTCGTCCGACAGCAGTTGACTGGTGAGGGACTCTGCTGAATTATCCATGACTGGATCAATCCTTCGCGACCTATCTGCGGCATGTCTCAGGACGCAAAGAAGATATTTATTAAATGCACAAGTTGATAAATGCTTGCAATAATTGCAGCGTGAGCTGAAAGAACATGGTACCGTGCAGCTAGGGCATATTAGGTGTGGGTCAGCAGCAGAGAAACGTAACTTACATACGGAACAGATTTTCATGAACGTAAACTACTGAACAAACACGGAATACACCGTGAATAAACAGTGATAAATACGAATAAATATCAAATCATATTGATGAAGGATACTAGCTAAACCTCTATAAAGAACTTATAGAGGTAACTAACTAAATAATCAAAGGATATAGTGCCGTAAGGAGACACAGGCGCTCTCACAACCTGCTCACAGGGCGAAGAAGGAGAGAGTGAAGCATGTGGGGGAACGGTGGCACCAGTTCCCGCCAAAACGGAAGGAGGGACAACTCTTGGTGAGTAGTGATTAGTGATTTTACGTACGCTTTATTGAAGGGAGCTTCAATAAGGAGATACAAGTGTTCCACTATGTTCGCAAGAGGAAGAAGACAAGCAATTAAGCATGAGTCAGGATAAGGAAAAATTATGAATTGTCATGTTCCCGTCTAGATACCCAGATGTTTATCATGTTTATTGCAATCACTTACAGACTGAAATTGAAGTTAGTCAGGAACCACTTACAGGAACACTTATTACAGTGAATATGGTATTGAAGTCATGATTAGCATGTACATCTCCACAGCTATTTACAATACACAAATCTGTTCACAATCACTTTAAAATAGGTGTTAACTCTGGAACATTGATTATATGTGACCAGGCAGAATTACCCAATGAGATAATCAGTAGGCAGGAATATGCTAGTGGATGATAGTATGAGCATTGCTTTATATTGCCATGGTGATGTCACACAGCCAAGTCATGGTCTTCCCATGGATCACACATGAGCTGCCCATACTCAGCATTGTGCCTTTGAAAGAAACCACAAGGGACTCTGTGGTGAAGATCACCTTGGGGCCTATGTCCCTGCACCAGCTGAAACCGTGAACCACACGTAGCGAGGACACTGACAGCATACACTGCAGGTAAGTAACACACACCAGACCCACAGGTACAGGAGGTCTAACACAGATGAAACCCAGTCGTCAGGGGATTATACATCACAAGGTTGTGTGCTAACATGGTGGAGACATGAAATGGTTGGGAGAAATTTCTGGAAACAGCATAAAACATTTTGAAAAATAAAATAAAAATGATGTTATGAAATAACCTTATCAGCAAGATCAGGCCTAAGACATATTCAATAAATTCCTTAGTTCCGATTTAGTATGAAATCTATTTACATCTGCATCAAAGGCTAAGTTGATTCAAAGAAAATTATGAAAATGACAAAAACCAAAGAAAATCTAACAAATCTAAGTTAGCAGATGCACACATATGCTACGAGAGACAGGTATATACTAAAGTGTTGTGACAAATATTACAAACATATTATCAGTGTAAAGATGAACTTGAAACAAAAAGAATTACAACAGATAGATGGAGACACAGATATACTATTCACTATATCTGTCTGAATGAATGATGCCACATCACTACTTGATTGGTAAGTATACACAACATTCTTCCACCGCCTGTGAATACATTTGGCCAATATGTCACAACAGAGTCACTACATTTATCAATGAATTCAGAGACAGCACAGCTCCAAAAGACTTAATTTAATACATGTCAGAAACATTGTTTCTCACTTAACATATGATTTGAAACATGAACCTGGCTTCGTAACATTTGCTCTTCACATCCTTTCAATGTCAGGAAAGGTAAATTTACACAAACGTCATGCACTAACGAAGGACAAACATGAGTTATAGACAGCATCACAGCATCTAGGTCCAATGTATTGGTGGAAAAAACATAGTGCATACATACCAATGAAATATTTATTACCATTTATTACATGTACAACGAAGAGGAAAACAAAGCAGAAACAAACATGATAGAAGAAACAGAAAAACAAACTGAAAAACATTACCAAAGTTATACATCATACATAATGGCTGTCACTGCATGCATATTTTTGTTGATTTCTTAACTCAAATTACCATGGCTAATGGAACAAAACAGGACTGTTTTGAATGGATATAGGTAGTTAGCTTTAAAAACAGTGCAAGGGTTAAATAGTCAAAGCAAAACAACACATCAAAATAAAGAGTTAAGTAAGATCTACATTGCTTTGGAAGCTAGAAATTATGGCAACTTGATGGCATGCAATGAAAAATAGTTGAGTGAGTACATATTAGTTCTTTACTTGCAGTCTTTAATGTAAATCTGACAACAGGCTAACCAGAGTCCAATACTGTTAGTATCTGTCACCCCAACAGGAACACACAGACAAAAAGTCTCAGATTGTTCTGTTTCCAAAGTGAGTGAGAGAGCAATGTTTAATTCTCCTCCTAGTATTAACAACATCACTGTAAGAGACCATAGGTGTGAGTTTTTTCAGCTATCTGTCACAACCAGACACTACATTTAGTCAGTCCAGAAGTCAGTTGTTAGCCTCACCTACCACACACTGGATAACATATTCTATAGTGTGCACCATAATCTAAATCTGGGTCTAATTAACACACCCAAAATTACTGCACTTGAGACACGTGCCAGCACGGGTTTCCATGATTTGATCAATTTTCTGTTGGATGTTCCTGTATATAACATAAGTTTATTTAATTTTGTCTCCAAGACTTTGAACAAGGCTGAAAAACTGGACCAACTCAAGTTTAATCCTCCTTGTTCTGCTTGTGTTTTCTAAATCATGTCAGCTGGTCCATTCTACACTTGGTGCAGGACCATTTTTTTGCCTTTCACCAGATAACAAATCAGTTCAAAATCTACATGATACATCTATATAGCTCCTTACAGATTGGTTCAAGTCTTGTTTTCCCAATCTTCTGTTCATCATGTTCATGATTCCATTGAGATATGAAAAGGACACAACTTCACCTCTATATGTATTTGTAATGCAAAGTATGATATGAAAGATCTTGCTGTTAATAGATCACAAAAGATAATCTAGTCAAAGAGAAACAGTTCCTAGCCATGCATCACAACGTACACAAATGATTTTCTACAATACCAAACTTCATAATCCAAAACCTGTGTCATGTTGTCAATTCCTTTCATTATAATACATACAAGATCTTGCAAAATGCTATTTTAGTATTAAACCCAATTCTAATACTATCTTATAAGTTTGGAAAATAGCCACAAGCTGCATGCTTGACACAACATCAACTGTCAGTACTGTAGCGCACAGGAGTACTGTTCCTCCATTTCTGACAAATAGTGGACCTAGTTTTATTAATCCAAGCCAATTTTTGTCATAGAAACTTAGTTACTTACAATACATGCAGGGAAAACTTATGCACTCATTTGACTTATATTATAGTGAGTGAGTTTAACAATATCATGGTGGGGTACACCGGAAATGGGCTTCACACATTGTACCCATGTGGAGAATTGAACTCAGGTCTTCGGCGTGACGAGCAAATGATTTAACCACTAGGCTACCCCACCACCCCCAAGATATATTATAGAAGCACACTGCAAAGAAACAGATCTCCCGGCCCAAGGATACCTAAAACACAGGACATTGCTTTGCACTTGCACCAATTTCTGTTTGTAAATTATTATACTACAAGAGTGATAAGCACAACAAAAGTACTCATGTGATTTCCTTATCAACCACCTATAAATAATTTGTAGCGAATCTCAACCTGATTAAAACAAACAAATAAAAATCACATTTTCTTTTGAACTTACATCTGAAAACCCTGAAATCAAATCACAACATTTACCTTTAGCCTTTTAGGCAACAAACAGATATAGAAAAGGTGACTGAAAGAAGGTGCACATATCTGGAACAGGAACAGAAGCAAGCCCAGCACCTACAGTAACATGCTGTCACGAAGGGGCATACCATTACCATTTAAATCAGTCTAGCCTCTAAAACTAGGTTACAGAAAGGCGCTAGGGTTAGCTCGAGGATCTTTCTGATTGCGATATCGCACTGTGATCCATACGCCAAGAATCTGAAAATGAGGCAAAGCAGACTAGTTTGTTAGTATATGTTAGTACTAGGATGTCTCTTGTTTGTTTGACGTTAACCACCGCTCTCAGCAATATTCCAGCTACGTGGTAGCGGCCTGCACATAGTAATATAGCATGGATCAGACAAGCCTGTGATTGAAATACAGCATCATCTTTTGCCACAAGGGTACTACAGCTTGTATTCAACTAAGTCACTGACTCTAGCCTCCCCATTCATTCAGTCGCCTCTTTAGACAAGCACAGGTTGCTGGGGACCTAACCCAGAAACTCCCACCCCACGGGGCCTGGGTAAGGCTTTACACTACAATAATTAAGGTGAGTAAGCATGTTAAGATCAGCTGTTACAGTGCTCCTGATCAATCTTTTTAACTAAAACATATTTATTTGATATTATTTTTATTATTGAGGTTATTGATAGTTTTCTCTACATTTCATTCACTGGGTCCAGTCTATTCAGTTTTGTAAACTGATGCCCTTTCTTTCATCTATGCTGTTTTAGGTAACTTTTCTTTACTGTATGTTGGTGTGCTGCTGCAGCAGCTGTACAGTTAGGTTACAATAAGCTGGATGTTGAACACTGCAGTAAATAGAGAATACTACACGAGAACCATTACATACGAATTATACGAAACAAGTGTCCTTCCTATGGTATCTGACTGAGCGAAAGCTCATGACTACATGATGCCTGGATAGTCAGTAAGAGGACATATCTGTAATGACAAGTACGCAAGCTGAAAAGGCTTGCAGGGTTATTTTTCCCAGCACTGTTCTATCAAATTATTCAAATGTATCTATATTGAAAGGACTAAAAATATATCAAGTGATGGTGATTTCATCTGAGTATTTTATGCAAATAGGCAGGTAATCTGGAGCAGTTTTGAAAGCATAATTTTTGTTTTAGCCAGGAAAGCACCTTGCATTTAAATACTATCACTGTGAGAGTTTAGTTTGTTAGTATAGTTTAGTATGAGTTGGGGTTAAAATAAGTTACATGTATAGTTATGAATAGAGTTACCCAGGGTTCAAGACAATCATCAAACAGAATTTTCAGAAATCACAGAGAGGACAGTCAAAGGTACGTGAAATGAGATGAAGTTGAAATTTTGAAGAGTGTGGGTGTGTGGATGCTATTGTTTGTTTGGAACTTGAATCATCAAGGAACTTTATGCTAAATTTGGATACCTGGTATTTCTTAAACAGTTCAAAACATCCAACAATTTCATACATCTGATTCAACAGATCCAGGCATATATGACAATACACATATTAGGAATTTGAAGGGACTGGAAGATGAGTTCAATACAACTGCGAATTCAATACAACCTAGTTCAACGCAATGAGGTTTGAATGTACATCAGACTTACAGTCTTTTCAGACCTACAAAACTTCACTGAAATTACTAATTTCTGTAGAACATTTGACATTTTATTAAGCTATGAATCAGATTGTGAATGTTTCAATTGTACCATTTGATAGTTTAATATTTGAGTAATCTGACACATTTACAATGCCCCTAAACAATAAACATGCAAGTTTGCCTAACACAATTCCAGATCAGCATCAAAGGGAGGCAACCCAAAGGACACCACTAACGGATGGTACAAACAGTACTATGATAGCAAGTTTGTTTTGTGTTTTTCTTCTTATTCAAAATAGATAACATCATATCAACTTGGCAGTTAATAGTTTTAGATGCAATTTTTTGTCCAGTCATTGCATTAATATTCTTGTTAAGTCTTAAGATACTGGAATTACTCTACTGAATCATGGACGTACCGAGGAGAAAATGTGTTCACCGCTGTTTCCAACTTACGAGACAATTACAGATGGTGATTATAATTTCTGTATGTAAGACAATTCCAGCATATAGTAAATATCTTTGAAATAGTAACTTGAAGACTAGAGATGTTTTATCGCAAATTTCACATTTTCAGTGATCAAGTGTGTTATCTCTCCTTTGTTCACCTAATATGATGCAATGAATGGTCAATGGTTGACTGCCCACAATATAGGAAATAGTTTCCAAAACTTCTACAAAACATGGGTTTGTGCAGTATACTCCAGTGTACACTATACATGCTAAACACAAGAAAGAACACTACTCAATTAAATAGAGACAATACGGGAGTTTCACACACACACACACAGCACTCATAGTCACATCTAAACCTTGACTTGAACTGAGCACCAGACTGTTTAACCAGGTAGACTTCATCTTCGTGAGGCAAGGGAGTTAACAGACTAGAAGTTTCCAGCCTTGCTGAACCATACTGTGCTCAATTGTAGCACCACCAATGGCTATTATGTCTATTGACCAACACCAGTTAGACTCTAATTTCATATAACTTGCATTTGCTTAAACAAATACTGGTGGATTCCAGTCATAACAATCTGACCGGTATTCAAGATCTTTATCATGTTAGTAACAAATCATTTGAGCACCCTGATAAAAACCATGAAAAGACTAGGAAAATGTGAAGGTACACATGCTCTGCTGATCTCCATGGTAGTCGGCTTGCTTATTTTGAATTTTGTAACACAATTTTGATTGGACTATGCATAGACTTGTTTGTCCAGCCAAAATATCACTCTATAATTCAAACCTAGTTTGGCAAAGGTGATTACGCAGTTATCTCCCTTGCCTTGGGAAGCTGAGGCAGAGTTTGGTATTATGAAAACCCACAACTGAAGGCAGCACCTAACACCATCACCAATGCTCACTGCTTACCTCTGTAAAGCTGAAAAACAAGCCCACTCCTCCAGTCATAGTGAAGGCAGAGTATATTTTATCCTGAAGCTTGTCAAAACAGGAGTCACAGGGACAAGTGGTGCTGGAGTTACTTGACTTCCCTGTGCAACAGAAGGCTTCAGAATGTTCTGGACTGCTACAGCATGCGCTCTGGAAGAACACAAAAGCAATGTTTAGGTCAGTGGTGGCACAGACACAGACCTTATATCACCATGGTGACATATACTGACAAGATTCACTCTCCTACCCAGAGTTCCATGCGGCCAGCCAGCATAGTACCTCTGCCACTGGCCAGAAAGATGTGACGATTCGTCACATTTTGCACAGTCCATTCAATATAATGTACATATTTCTTAACCCTTTTATTTTTGACGAGTCTATACATCTAATTAAACATCTTTGATAGAATGGTTTAGTTCCACAGAGAAAAAATCCTAAAACATGTAACACTATGTTATGCTAAGTCATCACTACGCTGGAGTGTGGACAAGTCTGTGACTGTGTCCTGTCAGGCTTTGATCATTGACCATGGGCTGAGTCCATTATGCATGAGAAGTATGGCTGGTCAACAGAAGCTGCATATGACATGCCCGGAGTTCGAATCTAGTGAGTTTAGTCGCTAGTTTGCTTCTGAAATAGGTCTGTCATTATGATAATAAATATAAAGGTTGGTATCAGTTTTAACAAATTATAATAAAGTCCCCCATCCTATAGGGCATTCCATGTCCAACATGTCAAATGAACACTAACACCATTGGCTTGAGATGCAGGTCTCAGTACTGAAAACCTCTCATGTCACTGTCAGATGGTACCTTTATAGGACAGTAATAAATAATCTCTTTAAAAGCTCTAACAATCAAACTTACAGTCTTGCAAGATGGGAAACCTAGGCGATCCGTGGAATTCAGTTGTTGATTTGTATAACCACAGCAGTTGAAATTTCTTTGTACATCTTCCCGTGTACTGTCACTGGCCATCATCCAGCCCTGTTTTGCTATGTTCTCCTTCTGCTCTGTGTTTACAGCAAGACAAGCACAGGCTAGGGCAAACTGGATCAAAAACAGCACAAACAGAATGATCATGTACTGGGCACTGTTAAGGTTGGAACATTTACTACAGTCACTGACATATCAGCCCTTTCTGTACATTACTGGATGCATGACTGAGAACGATTACTGTTTAACACATCTTCCAGAAGCAAGGGAGATAACTGACAGTGTAAGTTCGGTTTGTGCCTTGCCAAGCTTGCCTGGAATTTCACCAGTCACCAGTGGCTATTACGAGTCATGTCCCTGGTATCTCCCTTGCTATGATTAATCACGATTTGACTAGCACATGCTTCAAACAAAATGCCTATGTTGATCTGTTTGAGAATCATGATCTCCAATCAATAAAACTGGTGTTACCCTGCAAAGTGCATCTGATCACTGGAACACCTTGAATAAAAACACGAAAAGATTTGAAAATACAATGAAACCCTGATAAGTAAACTACTGATAAGTGGCAACCCCTGATAAGTAAACCTTCTCCGGTCCCGGCAATAGCCGTCATTATTTATCATTATTTCATATTGGATAAGTAAAATCGAATAAGTGGCAATTCCGTTTAAGTAAACCTTTCTCTGCGGTCCCTTCAGACATTTTACAACAGAAATGACATCGAATAAGTGGCAATACTCGGACCAAAGTTTGTGGATTCATTCAGCAGTAATTAACGTATCTCACCTGGCATCAGCCACTTGGGTTGTTAACGAGCCGACTAATTAGTCTCTTCCTGCAGGTTGTTTATTGTCATAATTAATCCTAATCGGTGTCAAGTGGCCATAGACTCGATATAGTGGATCTGAGTAGAGGGGCAAGTTCAAACAGAGAGCCGCCATTGATCACATCTCTTGAGTTTTTACCAAAATCGTGGAGTAGGGTTTTTATACGAAATAGGATTTATCACACTGCTATATAACATGCACAAAATCACAATCTTTAGTTACATTTTGACAGACTTCTTTTAGTTGACTCATTTTCCGTGTGATATTCTTGTGAAACTTTTAGTATAACCCGATAGTGAAACGACAGATTGCTGATTTGCTGTTCAAATTCATGAAATCATAACGGGTGATATGATTTAAACATATTTATTTCCAAAGAACGTAACAGGGCTGGTAAACAAGCATAAGCTTATATGAATACCACTCCGGGATACAATTAAAGGAAGAGTAAACATGTCATGATGAATGTACAATGTGAATGATATATAAATGTTGCAAAAACGAGAAATAACGCCAATCATTGTTAAACAGTATATGTCATATGAAGAAATTATTTTGGATCAAATCTGCCTGTTAAATTTATAAATGAGTGCACTGAAATTAAAAGATCTTTGTTTACTATCGAGGAACAGCTTTGGTTTCCAAACAAAATTGATTTTAGGTCAAATCCTTTAGTATAAAAATACATAATTTGACGTATATCGTTGTAAAGAGTACATGAGAAGAATTAATGAGCAGAGTCTTCATAGTTGTGACCACAAGAGCAAGATGATGTTGGAGATATAAATCTTTCATATTTGTGCGCATTAAGGTCACTACATTCAAGTCGGAGATGAGAGTGTATGATTGACAAAATCTGCTACCGAAATTTAAGTCAATATGACTGTAGATATTAGAATCATTTAAAAGCACACTTTTGAATCTCGATAGGCACGGTTATTCTCTATGTTCAGCTGGTAATGAATTCCATAATTTAACAGTATCTGGAAGGAAGGACCTTGCATAATTTACAGATTTACATTTTATACTAATTATAGTCTGAAGGTTTGAATCACCGCGCAGATTATAACCAACGATATCTGATACTCTAGGCGGAACAGGGTTACTAAGGTAACTTAACGGGTGATATTACATGTACATGTATATGAAATGTTTTTTAATGATGAATGTTGATATTAAAATGAATCAAATTTGTATTGATCTATTTATTTTATTTTATTTTGATCTGCATATAAATTAATGAATGGTCCTGATAAACGGGTCAGGTTGCCCTGATACAATGGGGATGCGATGTCTATTTACTTTACTTGGAAATGTGATACAACTTGCTTGGATGGATAAGTGGCAATATGGATAAGTAGCAACTTTTGCCATGGTCCCTTGGAGTTTTACTTATCCGGGTTTTGCTGTATCTGTTGATGCACCCTATCTTCGTATCATACATGGGACGTGAATGCCAATGTGGTGAACCAGAGGATGACAGTATGAACAATGCCCTGAAGTAAATGGACATTATATGGCCCACCAATGACAAAGTTACAAATTGAACTAATCCTCTCTCTGTGAGTAAGTGAGTGTATGGGTATGGTGCAACAAACCTAGAAATAGCATCAAGGCAAAGTGGGATTGGAAACCATGATCATAGGTCCCCTCCCCAATATCTTCACTCACGGACAAATCTTACATTACAATAAAAACTGAATACTGTTCACACATTCTCATGGAACTATCGGTTGCAAAGGATACAAAAAACAGCATAACTTGGTGATGTTTGACAGCTCCGATGAGACCAATCAGCGATATGAAGAACAGCACAACCCCACATGTTATCAAGCTACCCACCAAAGTGAGGCTTGTAACTATGGCAGCTACACGCCCATAGGCAGCTACACCAATTAGGATGAAGGAGATAAGCTGAAATTAAAGAAGCAAATATTAATTACATGTTTGTATAAGCAAATATTAAGGATGATAATTAACAAAGTAGATACAACCAACATCACCATCAGCTAGCGAAATAACTAAATTCCAGGAAGGACTACTAAAACGTGCTTGTGGACTCCATTCAATTTCTAACCCTGGAGATAAAGGTGATTTTAAATGATTTTTATTTAAGTTGAACAGACAATCAATTGTCAACATGATTAGTAGGGAGAAAGCAAGATCAAGAACATTACATGTTTCTTATTCATTTTGATCTTATGTGAAGTGATTGCCTCTAGTTGGTCACCATGGTCACTGTCAAAAAGCCTTTACACATGTTTAAAGAGAGTTCTTTCATACAACAGTTTGTTTAGAATATCATATACACTTGTTTTGAGGGTGCTGAGTGTTGGTCACTTCACTCCATGAACCCTGACCCATGTTTGCACCAAGATTGACAATGATTGTTGACATCCCTAGGGCCATTCCTCTGTCACCATATAAACGCATGGGTTGCTGGTGACCAAACCAGGTCACTAACTAGGCCATGTGTCATGTAGGAATGATCTTTACAATGAATCGGAAAGTGTAGCTTTAATATGTTAAACATACATCCTCTATTACCATCATTAAGTTTGTTTGCATGCAAAGGTTTCAACTTCTTGTTGTATTTACGTCTAAACTGGCGTTCACAATTCACATATTGAGCCTCTCAATAACTCACATATTAGCTGTGAAAACCTGTTGCATAACAGTTGCTAATTTCATATTAAGATTTGAAAACATAGTGTTGTCATAACTTCATTTCTTGCTTGTAAAGTATTTTACAGGATTGGGTGTCAAAACTGATGACAAACATGTTCAAACATCTGTGAATTTTAGGGTATTGTAACAGTAGTATTTGACCAAGGTTTGGTTGTCAGGAGTAGGAGACAAATCTGGGTATACTAAAAGACTATGTCACTTGTTCATAATTTCCAACACAAGGAGTAAATTGAATAAAGGAGACAGATGTTTTTCAAAAGCAGGTCCTATGCTTTGGAACAACATCCCATTGGGCATTAAAAGTGCAGAGGAAATCTGTACATTTAAGAGAATGTTAAAAACATTCTTTTTCAAATCATATTACATTTCCAAGTGACTCTTTCCTTGTCAGACTCATCTGAAAGCGCCTTTGAGCAGGACACATCTGGATATTGGCGCTATATAAATCTCTATATATTAATATTATTATATTCAGGTATCTCATGAGTGTTTTAGGGAGGGACCATTTAATTGTCATAACTGGATTCTTCAGCAGTTAAGCCTTTATTGAAAATATTATTCTAATGTACCATCACTATCTTCACAGTCCCTGTGGTTCAAAGTACATGCTTAAATTTGTTTGACATTATCTGAACAGGGTTTCTATAACATGACTTAAGTTCTTTTCAGCAAGCTGAGAAAGAGCACTGCAAAAATAGTTCGAACTTCACAGTATGAATATAGACAAACATTACTGATAACGGCTTCTCTTGTTTTGTGAGTGCGACATTTTGATACAGATACTTGTCCCGTTGTCAAGCAGGAGAGTCAATATTGTACTTCTGAATTTCTAAAATGCCACTCAAAGAAGTTTCACAATATGAATGAAAAAGTGTCTGCGGTGAATTATTTCATGATTGTGGAACTTACATCAAATCTGTTACTATTTTCACCCACTATGTTATGTAAGAGCCCTCGTCTCTTGACATTATTTTCAGAATTCTTTTCCACTACAACTACATGGCCTGCATTACATTTAATTTTGAAATTCTGCTACACCTACAGAATACCAGATACCTACCAGCCATATTGTTTAGTGTCACGTCACCCTAACCCTAAACCTAACCCAAACCCTAAATAAACTTGCGTGCTTTAAAAGCGGAAGGTATCTGATATTTGTAGTCTTACCGAAATTCTCAAACCAGTGAGTGAGTGAGTATGGTTAAACACCACTTTTAGCAATATTCCAGCAACATCACGGCAGGGGACACCAGAAATGGGCTTCACACATTGTGCCCATGTGGGGATTCGAACCCGGGTATTCAGCGTGACGAGCCAATGCTTTAACCATTAGGCTACCCCACCGCCCCATCTGCATCCAGAGTAATGGTTGGGCAGGATATAGTACTGAGTTTTGATCATGTTGATGGACGGAGAAACTGTTGTGCTGTGATTGCCTACTACCATTGCTAGGGGGTCACACCTTAACATGTCTTTGATCAATGTTAAACAAAAGGTTAATTGTATTAAGGTTGGAGAAAAGTGTTTAATTAAGAACAGCTTTACAGTTTAAAGATCTGTCCAATTTCATATATGACAGATAACAAAAACAGTTGGGCAACTCTAGCTCTGCACTACCTCGTATTTTGACCATCATAATCAATAGGTGAACATTATCAATGTTATACAGATATCTAATGGAATCATCTATCATAGATAGTTGAAGATAATATGTCATGTTATATAGGCTGTTGTGATCTTACCATCATGTTAACGAAAGATCTAATATTTTTTTAACAATGGGTATTTGAAGCCGGTTATTCATCAGCTAAATAATACTTTTAATTTAAGATTTAATAACGTATTACATATATGTGATGATAATGATGCATTTGAAAGTTGAGTGTGGTTAAATGTACAACAGCCACGTCACACAGAATCCCCCAGCAGGTGATTCCGGTGCCGGAATATTAATCATCGGTTACAAACGATCACATGTCGTATGCTTGTTAAATGGCGAAACAGCAACGTGAAAACTGCCACACATCCACATCGCAGATGTCTCTTAACTATCAAACGTAACAAAATGAGATTTAATACTTACTATATAAAGAACATTTAATGCCGCTAGTGCATTTTTCGAGCACGTAAATCCGCCACACACCATATTCTCAGTCTTACTGCGAAATTTATGCACGCGTACACACGATTGATCGAAGTTCTCGCTCACAACATTAACGACAACAGCGGAGTAGAGCTAGGGTTAGTTACGTAAATAAGCATACAGTTCTCCGATTAAGACAGAACAATACACACCTAATATTTCTACTGTATTTTAAAATAACATATTAGCCGTATAACGTAGACACCGATGTTTAATAGTATTATAAATCAGTTTAGTTTCGCATTTTTCTAAAACACGGAAAATACTGGAACATTTCGGAATAAATCGAGATGCCTAGTCCATTCTGCAATGCTATAACCCTAAAGAAAGGAAGTCTAGATTTCCTCAGGTTCAGAAGCCTTCTTTCGGTTCAAAAGGAATTGTTTGTTTCCATCAAAAGTATATACATTCAGCCACTAAACATTATTTTCACATTTTCGGCGCTTAGATACCTGTTTGTATTGACGGACAGGAGGTAGATCTACTGTAGAAGAGGGCAAATATCTGGGTACTATCCTTGATAACAAACTTTCATGGAAATCAAATTCATATCGTGTACATGGGAAAACGCAACAGAGGCTTTTCTTTCTGCAAAAATTGCGATCTTTTAATGGTGACACTACTGTCTTGACATTATTCTACCAAACACTCATCAATGCTTTTATGCATGGTGTGACAACCTTCCTCTTACACAGAAAAACAAAATTGACAAAATTGCAAACATATCCAGCAAAATTTGCCGATTGTCTTTCGAACCTCTTCCTTTTCAGTATGAGTCAAGAGTTAAAAAGAAAGCTCTGGAGAGAAAAAAATCGGACCCATCACACTTTTAAAATGAATGTTATGAATGTTTTCCTTCTGGCTGCCCTCTCAAAATCATGTATTACGAATAGAACGTCTAAGTCATTTGTCCCATACAACGCAAAACTTCTAAATCTTCCTCCAAAATTAGTGAAATCAATGATGTGGCACGAGTGATAATTATATAGTGTGTACTTTGATTATGATTCATCGATATGGTGATTAGCTTGGCATTGTGTATGTATAGGCCTACTTTAAATTATTTGTTGTATGTATGCATTGTATTGGCTCGAGGAATGCAAGACAAATATTTTGGGAGATATTCACATACACAATTACAGGCAACAATCCAGTGCCACAATAATGAAGAATATGACATTTGAATTAATGGAGTAATCTATACAATCCATAGAAATACTAGTAGTAGGTTTTGTTTGGGGATGCAGAATCTTTGGTAATGACTTTGGATCACTTTGAATATTTGCAGAAATTGAATTTATGGAATATTCGGAATATAATATGGGGATGCAGAATCTTCCATTTTCATGTTGTATTATATGTTGCATGGGAGCGGTGTTAATATAAGCAGTAATGCTTGTTCACCAATCCCAATTCATCTTCATGAATAAAAACATGTTTAAATCATAATATGATGGAAGGGGTCGAGGTGGTTTACGGGGAGGGTGAAATTTGTGTATATATGTTATGATGTTACACCTTAAAATTATGTGAAATGGAGCAGTAAAGTATTGATAAAATAACTATAAATGATTTCGCTTCGCGAAGTATATTTTCCTCAAATATATTTGGAACGTGATCGTTATTATTGATAGCGTGATCGTCACCCAGTTGACGGTGTGGACTGGTTAATTTAATCCGAAGAATGTATTAGACTGGTTTTCGGTACCGGAAGTGGTAAGCAAGGAAACAGTCTTGGTTTGGCGGCCCATACGAAAAGCGTTGCTGTAAGTAAATAATAGATAATAGGGCATTTTTGTGTGTCAGTTGACATAATACCATTTAGCATGCTGCAAGAAAGCTTCTGTGCTATTTTGCACAGCTAAATATCTTTACCGGCGTGTTCTTGATAAGTTGAACTTGACGTCTGCATGGTTGGGCCAATCATCGAAACAAAGAGGTTTTCATTACCAGCTCATGAAAAAAATCAACCTCGGCGTTATAAAGACGGGTCCATCCTGATACTTAGACAGTAATTTACCGATGCATCTATTGCGTTGGCACCACGCCTGTGTCACTGGCAACAAAACTTAGGTCTACGAATGTATAATCAATGATAATGATAACTTTCTTCGCACTACTGCCTTACTTATACTCGCCTTATTCCGCGAGAGAGGTTTCTTCTCCAGTGACCACATGGCCGATGTTTACTTATCATGTATCTGTACTGTTTTCTTGGTGGTAGGAAACACACAACATTCTGAAATAAGAACAGGCGGCCTGGCGGGTCTAATTCATGACTTTCATAGTGTTTTGCACAATGATGTAAACATGATTCTACAACTGTTAGGTGCGTGTCAATATAGACATGAAGGGACAGTAAGCAAATGGAATGTTTTTCATATTTTATGACATTGTCTCAATAAGAGTCAAACATTTCATTTACTGAAATGTGTAAACTTATCAAAAACAGATGAATACATGCATTATCTTCATTGGACTGTGTATAATCAGACTTGCACAAGTCTCTACTGTAAGTGTAAGGTAAAAAGTAATAGTTTGAATGCTTATTTCTAAAACATAATGAATAACAGACTGTACTCTCTGCTTATGTAGACTTGCCTCTTCGAATGATGGAATTACTATACATCCATGGGCTCAGCATTCAGTACAGCCTTGGAGCAAGGCTAGTGTATGATGTTACAATGTGGCTGAGGTACCAGGCTGTTTGAAAGGAACCTCTGGGTTGAACATAGACTAGCTAATGCTTAGTCTCTGAATATATATTATTTTGATAGAATAAAAAATTCCTTTTCGACTGAAAAGGAGCCCAAGTGAGATGAGAGAATCTGAGGAAATTCCCAAATGAATGTATTATTTATATGTAATAAAAACAAGTTGAAGTAGTTTCTGTTTCTTTTAATAACTGACAAGAAACTTAAAACCCAGATCAAGTAAACAGTTAAAACATGAACTCTATGAAGCTGCAAGTCTGCACCGAAACATCCTGTATTTTGCACTGCACATTTATCAAACGGAAGTCAATTACTAAACTATTGATAGTCACACATACAATCGATGCATCAATAGTACCATCGAGTTCTACCATTGAGAACTTGCTATCGGAGACTCAACAATTGCAATCCATCGATAGTTCGATGCATCATTACAGCCCTAGTCAGTACATGTTCTGAAATGGAATTGGCTTCAAATGACCAAGGCATTCATGTTGTAATCCAGGCATTGGTAAACACTTGCTTCTGATCCAAACAATCTAGTAATGAGTATTTTGTAAATAATTCGTTTGAAAAACACAAACCTATTTCCACTAAAATATGACCAAAGCCAGTTATTCAGCACAGTGTTTGGGTTCAGTATGTTGACATACCAGACGTGGTAATTTTTGCTGTGTGAAATCATATTGTTTTGGTTTGAGAATCAGGGTGGTGGGGTAGCCTAGTTGGTAAAGCGTTGGCTCGTCACGCCGAAGACCCTGGTTTGATTCCCCACATGGATACAATGTGTGAAGCCCATTTCTTTTGTCCCCTGCTGATATTGCTGGAATATTGCTAATAGTGGTGTTTAACCATACTCACTCACTCACTGGTTTGAGAATCGAATCATGCATGAACTGAGTGGAGGTATCACATCACACTTATGCATGATGGCTTTATGCCAATGCATGATGATTTAAAAAACACACAGAACTGTTGACATACTGGCAGTTTGATCTCTATCCCTAGACATTCAGTTACTTTGGGGAAGATATCTACTATCCACCTGTTATTAGAGTGACATTTCAGCATTTTTCGTCCAGCATGTTAGTTCGGTATTGTGAAATAGGGAGGTCACTAAAGGGGGAGGTCCAGCCATGATGCATACTGAATCTTAGGGCTGCAACGAATACACAATGTGGCAAATATGATACGTATCATGAATATTGGGTAACGAATACAAATAGTTATTCACGAATACAATATTGTTGTTAAGTGATTGATGTACAATATGGAACACCATGTCAACAGTGTTAATTCATCACAGCAATAACCAGTGATCTCATGACACTCAAATTTGGTATGTAATGGGTATAGTCGACAGTACCATGTGCGGCCTTGGCAAACTAACATGACTTGCACTACTGCAATGCTAGTACATGTTCCATCCTTGCATATCTCACTTTGGAAAAAGACATAAGGGTTCAAGTAAAACATGCTCCTTTAAAAAAATAGTAAATATTCGTTAATATTCGGTTCTGGTGACCGTGAATAACAAATTGAATTCATGAAGGGCTATGGTTCGATTCACTGAATATGCGAGTGAATCGTTACAGCCTTCATACTGATATTTCCAAATGTTATTTCTAAGAAAGGAGATTGCAGAACTTAAACATGGTGATGATGATAAAACAATCTTCATGTTTTAAAATCAGTTTAAGGCTAAACTATAAACTTTATAAGTAAACTATACAGTAACAATTATATGTATGATGTAGAATGTCCCTTTAGCAGGGACATACCATGCTAGGTGCACCTTTTTGCTTTGTGTAAAGAACCGAAACCTTGATACATGTATTGTTTTGTACTTATTGATAGCCTCATGATTTGTGATACATATATGTGCTGTGATACTTTGCAGAATCATTGCAGCCTTGTACAGTATCTGGAGACATATTGTACAAGTGTGTATTGACATATTGACTTTCCAGTGACAAAGCAAGCTGTGGCAACAGGTTTATTTGTGTTGTTCTTTATACATGACTTATGATAAGCATGATAAGCTTGATCAAGTCTGGTGTCACCCAGGGATTCAGCTAAGCAATTCAAGGCCAGCACATCTGAAGCAAATATCAGTACAAGTTCCCAAATCGGAGTCAATGATTCACCACATATGCCCCAGGTCTTCTTGTTACAATTCATATGCTTTATTATCAATGTTATTGCTTAACAGATATGGTACAAGTGACTTGTATTTCACTAACAACAGTGCCCTAAAGAGGATTAAAGTGGCTTTAATGCTCAGATTTTTGTATGCAATTGAAATTGAATTTTTTTTTGATGCTTTGGGAAAAGATGTCCAATGTACCAGGGTTTT